ACCGGACTCCTCCCCCTTCCCTTCGTTAGCCGACGGAGCCACTTGGGGAAGGGGGGAGGAGTCCGGTGACGTCGATGTCCGTGACGTCACCGGATCTCCGACGGGACTCCCGTAAGACCCGGAAGCCGGCGGCGAGGTGAGTTTTCATTTTTGATCAAAAGAATTTTAATCGATCAAAAATGTTAACGATTATCCGAGAAATGAATCGTTAATTTCCGCAGCCCTAGTATATAGCAATGCGCCTATTGCTATTATTAATGTCTTATTCTGCAAAGTGTAACCAACAATACCCTTGTAAAGTCTTGTTTTGAAGGCACTGTTACATAAAGGTACCTGAGATACTTGACTGCATCATTGTAGCCTATTGGGGTCACCGGGATCTTTGGTAATGCAACGTCCTTTTCATCCAAATAAAATGCAGAGCCTAAAGATGAATTGGATTCTGCTTTTACAAATGAATTGCTCATGAGATTGTTCAGTCATGTAACTAGAATGGGGTGAAATATTTTCCTTATGTTGTACACATTTACTTTATTCACTTCTGTACAAACGTCTGAAGACAACAATTAGTTATTCTGGTGATCAGCTGTAAACATTGTTCTTTAACTGGTCTGATATTAACCAATATTTAAATATATGTTTCTTTAGCTGTTACATTTGAGACATTTCCTCACTCTATTTAAATGAACAACACAAACTTTCAGCATGTCTGTTTTCTACCTTGATGAAGATGTGTTAAATGCAAAATATGTTTCTTCTATATACTCAAAACCTGACCATTAGCGGGAAAAAACAGAAACTTAATTGGCAATAGTGTTGGTCAATAAAAATAAAAATACATTAGATAATAAAAAAATGGGTCTATAAACAAAAAAAACTAACTTTTAGTTTGGGATAGACTCTGGGAACCTCTGTTGGATTTTTATGGTTGCTTTTGTTTCCATGAGAAATATTTTTCCTTACTTCCTTTGTTGGTGACTGCTTCTCCTCAGGACAGGAAGTGCCTCTAACAGAGACACAAGCAGCAAAAAAAATCTTAGGTACAAACCTTTCCCTACTCTATCGAAAACATTCATCAAACTTTTTTTGCTTGAGTTTCACTGTAAAAATATATGTAAATATTACTATGGTTTAGTTAAAACAGACCAAGACATTTTGTAAAAAAAGAACAGTTTTCTGATCAGTAGACATATAGAGACAACAGGAGGTAACTAGAGATCTCCCCAAAATTAGAATAAATCCCACTTCTGACAGTTCTAATCTAAAGAGATATTCCAATTGGAGTATCCCACTTTTAATTCTGTTCCAGTAGCAATTGTAATATTTTTGGTTCCTCATCACTTTCTTTCCGGTGTCAGTGGTCATTAGGACAAAAAGAGAGGTTAGGTCTCTCCAATGGGGACAGAAGAAACATGAAAAAGTTCTAACCACTCACTACTCTATCCAAAAATAGAAAATTAGGTTTTGGGTTGATAGTTTTTTTAACTCAATTTGCAAAGTTTAGGAGTATTTCTTGAATGTGTAAGGAATATTTTTTAGTACTTTCACCAAAGATGAATGGAATCTTGTCCAATCTCAAACATTGAAATAATGAGCAATTTCAAGTTCTGAATCACTTCCAAAAGCAACAGATTACATACTCTACCACAACTGTTATAAACTGGAAACCAACATACTGAACCCTGACAGATGCATGGGATGAATGGGAACTACTGCTGACAACATATTTTTGAAAAATACTATACAACCTGTTCAGAAAAATAATTATAAATATGTGAACTCATTGCTTCACTGATCATCATGAAAAGAATGTAGTTCTCACTTTATCTACCTTCAAAAATACATTGTATGAATAGGAATATAGATTGTAAACTTCTTACCAATGGAGGGGTAGAAGGGGGTTAATGGATCTCCATCTCCTCTTAAAACTGTTCCTCGCTGAGCTCCTGTGCCTGGCAGCCACCAATCATCTGGGTATACTCGTTCCTGGTCACCAAATACATAATCTGCTGGATCAGAGTATATAATCATCCCAGCACAGCCAAATAGCTCTCCATTTCTCACCTAAAGAAGATTGAGATGTCACAATAAGTAATTTATTTTATATCCCCACAAAGCCGCTATAGTTTATTTGACTTTTCTGACCTTGTCACCTCTGAATATTTGCCCATATCTGGCAATTGCCACAGTACCAGTTAAATTCATTGACAGATTCCGGGTCAAGTAATGAAAGTCTTCAACAGTACCATAGTTGACATATACTGGATCTCCCTGTTAGAACAAAAAAAGGGTTGCATTCAAATTAGTGCTTTATATTTACATTAACGTGGAAAAACATTATACACGCAAGAAAGGAGTTAAACACACATGAAAGGGGTCAGAAGACTAACTAACTTGTATCATCTTCACCTGTATGTTCTCTTACACTCCTCCCAGAAGCTGTATACTTTCCTCTGCATTGTAATATCCTCAGTGGCATTCCTTCCCAACTCTAGTCCTTTAGCCATCAATCCCTAAATATGAAAGCTTCAGTCCTGGAAGTGAATGATGATAAACTTTGTCCTCACTAAGCTCCTAAAATGGTAAAGTACAGGCCACAACTATGTGAAGTATTTTGGCCTTTCCTGCACACTAGGACAGTAAAGTAACCTTGCTATTGTGGCACAACACATTCGATATGATATAAATTCCCAATATCTCATTATACAGTATATACTCTACCTTTTAATCTTGTAAGATTTGAGTGTACCCTTTATTTAGAGTAGACTAAGACAAATTGTATCCGTTAAGCTATTGTGGAGCAACAAATCTTAGTGTGCCTCTGAAGAATGACAGTGGACTAGGGCCTCAAGGTTATTTCGAATTTTCCACAATTTTCCACAATTTTCCATATCGCTAACATTTAAAGGATCAGGCTTTCAAAATAGGTTATATTTCAGCTGTAAGTTGATTCTGGTCAGCTATGTCACCTTCTTATTGTATACTGCATATTTTGGAAAATCCAGTAGCATGATGTACCTCTTATAATTCTTGGGTGTTCCCACTCATGTAAAATATATTACTATATTTGCATCAAAAGAGACCTAGAGAGACAAAAAAAAACACCGCACAGTGCCTTGTAAAGCCCTGATTGGGTCAAGCAGGTCAGGTCAGGTGCAAGACTCTGCGCAATCACAGCACAGTGCACTGTGAGAGCCATAATTGGGCAAACAAATGATGACTTTGCCCAATCATGGCTCACACAGCTAAGTCCAGTCAGGTTCCGGACAAATGTAAACAGTTGGGTGGAGCTAGCTGGCCGTCACTGATACTCTGCCCAATTGTTTATATTTTGCCGGCATCTGTCAGAATGCCATTCTGCAGTGGGAGTTTATTTAAAATTTTGTCGAGTCGTTGTCGACAATGCTGGCCACCGTGATTGACACTGGGATTACGTCGGTGGATCCCAGGTTTGTTCGGCCCATTACTAATGTTGACTTTGGAGATTTAAGTGCTAAAAATACATTCAATATAGGTAGTTAAACTATTGTAAAATTTTAGAGCTGGTCATTACTCTTCAGGCTCCATAATGCAGTTAAACAGTCAAGAGAACTTGTGAATTCTTAAGAAAGCATTAGGCGCCAGCAGGGGTGTAACTAGAAATCACAGGGCCCCATAGCAACATTTTGTATGGGGCCCTGTGATTGCTAGTTATGCCACTTGCAGAGCCCACCTGAGATACCAAACAGCCCACCTAAGAGTGACCCTGCAGAGCCCACCATAGACTCTCTATAGTGGGCTCTGCAGGGTCTCAGATGGGCTGCACACCTCTTACCTCTTCTGTCCCCGGGCCCCGCCTCCTCTTCTATAGACGGGCCCCGCCTGCTCTTAGGTCGCTGGCCAGTGATGTAAGAGGAGGCGGGGTTGCTCTTAGGCGGGCCCGCCTCCTCCTTCACTGCGAACACCGGGCTCTTCTGCCGCAGCTGCTGGCTGTCACTGACACAGCTCCGCATCGTCTGTGAGGGGAAATCAGTGATCTTCACAGCTGCTGCTGAGCTGTGTCAGTGAGAGCCAGCACCCTTACATGCCATAGCAACCCAGGCGGCCCACACGGCATCAGAGGGATGCCCTGGCCGGGCCCCCCTGTGCCCGGGCCCCATAGCGGCCGCCTGAGTCGCTATGGCGATTGTTACGCCACTGGGTACCAGATGTAATTGTTAAGTGCATTAACTACCAGGTCTCCATGATTTTTCCAGCCCTGAATTGTAGTAAATAATGTAAAGAGTTTTTATAATCATTATATATCTATCAACAATAACATGTGTTTCTTAATAGCTTACCACAATAACACCAGATGGTGAGTAGGCATTGAATGGGTTAACCACAGAAGAATCATTCTGGTCAGGACTAAGTATTTTCTCAACCTTTTCTGATAGGTCACTTTCCACACCGTCAGCAGACACAATGGAGACGTAGTTGGGATCACTTGCATTAGGGTAAGAGAGAAGAACTGTATAGTTGTATATTTTTGCTCCATGTAGATTTGATTGCCATGTTTTGTACATATAGTTGACTAGCACTTCTTCTTCCTGGTAACTTCCTGCAATATGAGGCTTGCCGGCAAAAAACCTACAGAAAAATAAACACATTCCAGGTATGTGCTGTAAAAATAACTGCTTGATATTGTCAGCTGAAAAATGTAATATCATATTTATGCAGGCTAGGGTAATTTAGTGATACGCTCTTGTTTTATGTCTGTATCTAAAAGGTCAGATTTAATGTGGTGTTTTACAGGTCGAAACTGAGGTGACATTGGGTTTTACCCTTATGCTGTAAAACAACCCTTAAGATCTAAAATAATATAACAATTAGGAAATAACTAAACAATTTACCCATGTGAGCTTTTGCCATGATATGCAGGTATGCTCAGCATATTTGCACATTATGGCTTACTCTAAAGTGCCCTTCTCTAGCAATAAGACGTCTGTGATTTCCCTTGTTGCATCTTTACTGGTGCTTCCGTCTTCACCTGGTTTTACTCCAGGTTCACAGTCTTTGGCCGTCTTGACTGGCCAGGGGATCACATAACTTAGGAGCATAAGCATAGTAGTAACTATGTCCTCACACAAAATCGTTCTGTAGCCCCTATAGTTATAGATATATGTGTTCAGGTGTATATGTGCAATCACAGTGATTCATGTTCCTGAATGTGAATAGTTAATGGCCTCTGTGTGCCCTGGAGGCGGAGATTTATGGGAGTTGGAGTGAAGAGCAGAGACTGGGATTGTGCAAGAGTGATCTCTGAAACTACCGCTCCCAGGAGGCTATGCAGGGAGAAGGAGGAGTTTTTACCCAGACGACTTCCCCTACGGAGCCTGAGCTGCAGAGGGATAGAGGATCTCCAGCGTCTGCTACCAGTTTCATCTGTGCACACTGAGGATTGGTGAGAGGCCTCTGGCCACATTGAAAACCTGTTTGCTGTTCATACCTGCACCACAGTAAGGGCCCCAACACCGGCTAGCTCAGGACATTACTACTGGCCAGTAGTCTAGGAGGGGTTGAGCATTGCTAAAGGGACATCTTAAAGGGGCATACACCTCATTACAGAGAGAACATTTAAAGACAATTGGCCTCACATACATCTGTGCTGACAGCAGATAGTTGCAGTTACTGAGTGGCGGAGTGCCTCTGCTTGTTACTACACATTATTGTTGTCATTTTTACTGTATCAAAGTCATTCATATCTGATTTGTCAGTAAATTTGTTATAAAACTGTTCCAAGGTGTGTTGGTGTGCTGTGGATCCACGGTTTGGGCGGTACATTGGTGCAGGGGGATAGAAATATCCGGTTATTCAGCGGCTCCTTAGGGGGTGAGCGCTACAGTTCCAAGACTGTACACTGAGCTGTGCATGCGTGGTTCAGTGTACAGTTAGAATACAAAAATGCAGGCAAAGAATTGAATTTGACAGAATGATACAACATGTCTTCTGTCAGCATATTTTCAAAAATACACTTAGCTCCACTTTCAGTTAATTAGTTGAAAACAATCTCAGAAGAAATCAGAGATGAGCACAGATAGCAAGTAATTGAGCTGCAAGTTTGAAAATGACTTGCTAAACTATTGCAAGACTTGTCAAGCTTCACAATTGTGTTGCACAACTACAGCAAGTCTGCATTGCAAGTCTCCAGATCAACGTGCTTTGCAAAAGTGCTGTACACTTGCAGAGCTCTTGCTAAGGCTAGGTTCACACCTGAGCATATTTTTTCAGCTAATTTTTCTCGCTTTTTTAGCGCGTTTTTTCCGTTGAGTGAAATGCGCTTCACTGGCGGTATGATTTTTTTGTCTGTTTTTTTCCTTTATTTTCTCTATTTTAAAATGTTTTTTTTTTTTTTTGTTTCACTTTTAAACTTCCCGCCATCTTAGAGAGAGCTACTGGAACTATTTAGTCCCCAATAAGTGCCTTGAGTTAGCATCATCTCTGTCTTAAAAGGTCCTTATTGACCCCCGCAATTTAACGTTAAGGCCTCCCAGTTGTTATATTTTGCGGTGTGAGTATAGGAGTCACACTCCGAAGGTTTCAGTCTTTATTAAGGGATCTACATTATTTATTAGATGCATGGTATACAATTTATCTTGAGCCTTCATTTGTTTTTCTAGTTGCAAAAGGGCTCCTGCTCTGTTCTGCACCCAAATACACTAAGATGGTTTCTAACATTATCAGTATTCCGTTCATTCATTGCCTTTATATTTAGCAAACCAATAATCTTTCAATATTGTGCACAGCTATGTGTTTTATACCTTCTCCATACATTTATTTTTAGTTTTATTTACTGTGCATGTTGAATATGGTGTGTCAACTGGTAGTCCTCTATGCACTAGTGTAATGCTTTCGTTGTTATCACGTCTGTCACGCATTGATATAGATGTAGACCCATCGTATCTTTTAATGTTTGAACCATGCTTTAAGGTTTCTTCTTTTGCTACTTCCTATGTACCTTTTACCTATATAGAGAGTATTTGTTATTCAGCTCTTGTTTACTTGATATATGTTTTTGCACATGCGCACATTTATAAGTCTTTAATATTATCAAAGTAATCACAGCGGTCCACTGGCACACACAAAACAAAGTTTCAAATATCAATGTTCTTTGATATGTTTATTCGTGAAATGTCACGTCATGTCATCAGAGGCTAACGCTTCAGGACCTTGCAAATTATTTAAAAAAATTAAAATTAAAAAAATAAGAAATAATAATTAATAATAAATAAAGAAAATTAGAACTAACCCTGCCGCCCCTGCCATCCGGTT